TACTTGACTTTCGTTCATGAGTATGTACATGGTAGACCCCCGAAACGCCTCAACCGTTTCAGGACAGGATTATTTTTGTCAATAGGTAGGAAAAAGTATTATTTTTTGTTCTGCCAAATGATTGTAAACTACTTCTAAGGAACCTGTTAATACAGCTCGAAAGGTTTTTGTCATTCAACACAAGAATTGGTACACAAAATACTGTGTTTAAGATGCATACACTTCAGATATATACCAATGTTTTCTTTCTCTCACTCAGTAGTTGACAACACAAATAATACTTTTTCCTATCTATTGAAAAATAACATGTAGAGAAATCGTTGCAATTATTTACTGTAAAGAGCAAAGAAAAACGAGATTTAAAAAATTCACCTTCAGCTGTTATAAAGTACGTCAAAAAAATAAACGAAAGAAGCTTCTCAAAATACTCTTTTCAAACTATAAAAGAAACTAATCAGCTTGACTACTTTCTGACCGTTGAATTTGCTATACATTTACTGCATCACAATTGCTCTTTTGAGTAGCGAAAATCGCACGTTGTCGACTCTTGTCGTTCTCCAGTTAATCATAAAATATTGGAGCGCATTTTATTTTCTTGGTGGTATTTATTTTTGACAAAAATAATCCTGTCCTGAAACGGTTGAGGCGTCTCGGGGGTCTCTCAGTGCGAGTTCTAGGTAGATTGTGAACAGAACTGGACTGAGAGCATGCATATCGTCTTGTGTACAGAATGTTTTCTTTTCTTTCTCTCTCTCAGTAGCTGACAATACAAAAAATAATACTTTTTCCTACCTATTGACAAAAATAATCCTGTCCTGAAACGGTTGAGGCGTTTCGGGGGTCTACCATGTACATACTCATGAACGAAAGTCAAGTAAGCGTATCTTTCCATAGCATTGCGCAGTGAATCTAAAAATTTTACCACAGACACAGTTTGAGTTTCTCTATATACTGATAGTCTCAGAACTCCAGGACAATGTCATCAAACACCTAAGATTTTCCAGAGACCCTTTCACACCTTCTCCAGTTCCAGGTTCTTGGGAGGATTAGTTGCTGAGCTTTAATAATCGGTTACTGTAGTCTACATAAAACTGACTATTTCTTGAAATGTTTAAGCTTCCACATTGTCAATGGGAGGAATTATAAAAGCTACAATCATCAATATTTCTCAACGATCGTCCACATTAGTAGAATGTATCTCGTTCATCGTCATCGAGTAAAATTGGATCCATTCGAGTTAAGACTCTCTGGAGATAGTCAATTCGATGTGAACTACAATATCCGATCAACAAAACTCAGCAACTAATCTTGCCAATGGAGTTAGAGTGGATTTCAATAGGGCCCTGAAAAACCTTGAGTAGTTGATGTGGTTTCATATTAGGCATACTAGATCCAAAACAAGAAAATATAGAAAATCAAAGCCCAAAACCAGAAAAATCTCAGAAAAAGCAGTTCAAAATGAGAAAATCAATAGACTTTTGAACAAACACGAGCAGAAACGAGACAGAAAATGTTCGAAAATCCAGAATTTTTCTGCCAAAATCGAAGATTTCGGATCCCTGTTGAATATGGGTGCACTTCTATTTTCTATTTTTAACGGACTGTTTAAATTTATGTGGTTGCAGAGTAGAAACTATCGAATGATTGACTCTGGATTGCTTAATTTAGATAATGGATCCTTTCTTTATTATTAATAAAAGTTAAATGGACGCAGGACTTTTTTCATCAATTACTTGTAGGTAGGACAAAAAAGAACGTTTTTTTCCTTCTTCGTGTTAATGTAACTGTTTGTCGGTAACTGAGTGAGTAAACTGGTTCAAACTGCATGACTCATCGAATGCATGTCACATACTTTCATTGGCGAAAGGGTTTTTACATAATTTTGCTATGGACTGAGTCAACGATAGAACGCAGTCGCTTGGAACTTTGTGAATCGAGCTGAACGTTTTCTGAACAATGTGCTTCAAACCTTTGTCCATATTTGTTCAAAAGTTCATTGTGATCCGTTGCTGTCTGTCTGCGCACACTTCTTTTCAGTTTCATCTGTGTTTGCTCAAAATAAATACAGACCCTACAGAACGTACTTGATGCAAGTACTTGGTAATTACTTGGGAAAATTGGCAAGTGGTTTAAAAATATCTCATTTGCCATATACTTTCAGAAGTACTTCTCAATGATAAAAATACTTGCTTTTATTGCCAAGAAGTACTTTATGAAAGTAAAGGCTTTTTCATCACCCTAAACCGAAAAAAGCGTGTTTAAAAATCGGAAGGGTTTTTCTGCTTGACCAAAAAACTAAAAAGTATTTTTTAGAAAGAGTCGAAGGGTTTTCTAGTTTTGCTAAAAGTCAGAAGGATTTTTTCCTAAATGCATTTGGCTTAGGGAAACATCGTTTTTGGTTTTTCAAGTAGCGAAGGGTTTTCCAATTTGAGAAAAAAATGAAAAAGGTTTTGTAGAAAGAGTTAATCGAACACTTTATTTGTTTTACCCGCTTTTCTCTTCTGGAACATAATGCTTTATTTCTGCTTTAGACAGGTTAGGACCGCTCGTCACTATCTATTTACATGAATACTATACCTACGCTTAGAAAAACGTGTTTTCTTTGTGGACTTCAGGCATAGAATAATATAAGTTCACAAAGTGAATATTAAGGAACAATAGAGAAACACTCGAATAATATTACCTTCAAAACAGTCTAAGTGCTTGCAGTTTTATTTGACAAGCGCTTGAACAAGTGCTTGTCAAGTGAAAAATCAAGTACATGCACGCTAGAAAAGTATTACAAGTAAATTTACTTCTGGAAAAAAGACAAGTACCGGCTTCCATACGCACGCCGAGTACTTGTCCCAAGTACTTGGGAACAAGTACGTTCTCTAGGAAAGTTTCTATTTAAAACTTGTGCAAAAATTCCTCCCTGGACAAACGCTCCGTTTCCTTAACTTATTCTTGATGTGCTCTGCTGACCTCTACTCTTGAAAGAGAACTTGCAGTTCGATTTTCTCTATAACATACCATTGGTTAGATTCAATTTATCAAATCTATCAGGTTGAATTGTGTTTACCATTGAAAAAGGAGAACGTCCTTGGCGATGATCAATGAAAAGTCCTGTATGGCAGTATTCTGTGAGTGGATTAGTACAACACTTATCGTCACCATACTTGTGCTGGTTCGTCTGGTGGAACCGGTTTGGCTTTTCTCTATTCTTTCTTCAGTACTTTCAAGCTTACTATATATGCATGAGAAATTGCCATGGAAATTAGACGATCGTCTCCAAATCGCTGGTTATCGATCTAAAGCTCTGGACCTCTGCTAATTCCATCGCTTTACCGTCGAAGTCGTTTGGATTCACTTGTTTTTCTAATCATTTTCTTTTCGTTTTTTTTAGAGTTTATGCAAATTAAAAAATATCCGATACAGACTCAATTCGTAATAACATGGTATCTGGAGATGAAACGGAAAATTCTGTTATTCCTCTGTCTAAAAGTTATACAATTATTTGGCTTGACTTTGGCGACGACAGCGTTTGGAACACTCGCACTTTTACCTATGTTTATCTCACGCGTATTGTCGATGTGTCCAAGAATAGGTTCACCAATTGTGTTCTATGTTATAATCATATTCTATCATCACAGAATCGAGAAGAAAAGTTGTTTGTCATTATTAGTGAGCCGAAGAAACCTCTGATTCAACGTGATTTGTTTTTATTTTGGAATCGTCTTCTGCTTGAACCACAAGTTGCGAGAATCTACGTTGTACAAACAAAGTTTGACTTCACTTTCCATCGTTACTGGTTCCGATTTAAACAACGCCAAAAAATGTATTTTTTTCCAAATGAAACTCTGCTGCTAGCACAACTAAGAAACAGCAGGGACGAGGCTACTACTGTGATCTGCTTAAATACGGGAACGAGTGAGCTTATTGACATAAGTAGTTACGACCCCAATGAATTGTTTTCGGATGTTACAGAATGTCTCCGTTATATGATATCAATTCGACGTCAACAGATGATATTGATCATTAATAAAAGTGTTCCAATGTATTTCATTATCGAATTGTTTTAGCACAACTGTTTTCCGCTAAATATTACATTTACATGTTGTCAACATTGAGGGATATCTATGTACTGACTAGTTCATGAACGAAACAAACTGCTATAAGAGAAACAGACTTGTTTACAAATTTCAAGTTATTCCAGAAACAGTTGGAACAAGATACTTCTGCTGATTCGCCTTTTCTTCGCACTGACGAACTGATTTATTCTTTGGATGTTGAACGATTACAAATATCATTAAGAAGTATTCAAACAGGCCGATTTCTCTACTATACTAATATCGTTGCACAGATGCCGCAGACACTAAGTGCTCAGACGGAAATGATCGAGGAATGTCGTCAACGTTACAAAGACGATCCGATTGAACTGAGGAAAATTGATGATTTTGCTCACAAATATTATCAGGAGATACCAAGAAATGCAGTTCGGTGGTATACGAAAGATTCATTTCTATATCGGCTACTGAACGAAGCCTGTAGAACAGGAGATATTGATCAAATCTATATATTTCGAAATTTCATCTCAGATTTTTTGCAGCAACTGCAAGAACTGCATTCAGAATTCATTGATGCACTCTGTGGTATCACAATAAAAGTTCATCGAGGTCAAGCAATATCCTCGAATGAGCTGGAACATCTTCGACAAAAGGTTGGTAAACTGTATTCAACAAATACCTTTTTATTAGCGACAGACGGAATTGAGGCAGCATTAGCGTTCTCTGGTATCGATAGTCAGCATCCTCAATTTGAATCGGTTCTCTTTGAATATACAATTGATACGACTGTCAAAACAAAAAGACCATATGCTGATATTAGCCATATAAGTTCAAATAAAGGTGAAAAGGAATTACTGTTTTCCATGGGAACGATCTTTCAAATTGACTCGATCACACAAGTGCCAATGGATAAGGAAACCTGTAAGAATATGTACTGGTGTGTCAAATTGAGACTTGTAAATGAAAATGATGACGTGCATTTGGCATCAAAAATGGGAACATTTCTTCAGAAAATTCAGCATACACCCCTACTATTAACACTAGGCGAAATAGCACTAATAAGATCTGGCGTCACTAATGATTTTTCCAAAGCAGAACGATATTACAGATTGTATCTTGACGAAGTAATGGCAGCTAATGACAAAACAGACGCTAAGGATCTTGTCAGGGCGCACACAAGTCTCGCAAAAGTCTGTGAAGCAAAAGGTGACTATGCTGCCGCTATTGAATATTATGAAACTGTTATTAACATTTGTTTGAAAATGTCCTTCTCGTCGTCGAACAGGGAAGAAGATTACAGAATAACAAAGATCAAATGGGCGTATAACCGAATTGCTTCAGTTTATCAGTATAAAACAATTGACTATGAAAATGTTATTGAAACTTACAGGCAACTACTTCAATTTCTACAAGAACAACAATATTTTTGTTCAATCTGCATTGCTAATACAATGAACACAATTGATGGTGCTCATAAAAAACTGACCTACAACTGGTCAGCGGCGCTTGAATTCTATCGGAAAGCGTATGCACTGCTAATCGACAATGAAAACTGCGATCGAAGTCGTCTGGATGATGCTGAAGAAAAAATACGACATGATCAGAGTCGATATCCTGATATTCTATTTTTTTTATTTATTTTCATTTGGTGCTATTGTTATTCAGTGGGTTTCTTCTTCGTGGACGACATTATCTTGTGGAACTTAATGCCTATATCGTTGGTGCGCGCGACAAATTATTATTTAATACGATATTTAACCAAGAAAAAGTCCAGTTTGAACCTATGGCGTCTGAGGTGTTTTGATGCTTTTATTAACAAAATTCAGAAGAAATTTACAATCACTCGTATTTTCGAACGAAGACAACGATTTTTTTGTCATCTATATGCGGTTATTCCATCAGTTATATCTTTACCAAAGCAGTGGCTTTTTCTATTGATAAAAAATGGCGTGAACAAGCGCCCAGGTTTCATCATTATTGCAATTGTGCTATTGGCGGTTTATTTGCCGTTCATTTTTCTGCTACTTACCAGAACTGTGATGGTTCTATTTTTGGTAACATGGCTTTGTGATCTTAACATAGTTCAATGGTCAATTTTGGTTATTCTTTACTACCCATGTGATAAAAATCGCGTAAAAATCGGCGACTTTTACGCGACTTGGTGTTCGATTGTTGCGATGTTATGTCGCAATTAGTCGCCGACCTTTTAGCGACGTTTTACTTTTAGTCGCGACTTATCAGTGTTTTATGGGGACTAATCAGCGATTTGTTTCCACGATTGTCGGTCTCTTAGTACCGACAATCGGTACTCGGTTCAAGCCTCCCTTTTTCCATTGTTTATTTTTGCATAGTGTATTTGTATTTATTGTTGTATTTATTTTTTCAATAATTTTCAAGTTAGTTAAGAAAACAGTACATAATTTTAAATAATTTTAGAAAACAGTCGTAGTGGCTATAAGGCGTATTGCGAGAATGTGAAATAATCAAAAAAAGAGAGAAAAGAATGATACAGTAGTTTATATGGTGTGTGTCAAACATAGTAGGAGTCATCAAAGAAGAGGACGAGGAGGAGTACCGTTGTTGGCTATTGAAACATATTGTGGACGTCGTCGTTTACTGAGAATTGAATTATGTATTGCTGGCCATTCAATCTTCATTTCGCTTTCACTAAATGAATATTTTCGTCGAATAGCTTCTAAAAATAAAATAGAACAGAAACTCACAGGTGATTCGGCTTGCACACACTCTTCGGTTATGCTCGATGCAGGAGAAGACAACAATTCACATCACATCAAGAAGTTAGCTTACCC